GACGCCGCCACGACAACCACGCGGCGGCCGACGGGGTGTCCGAGGAGACCCTGAGCCGGCTGAGAGGTGCCGTGAGCTTTGGATACGGCCTGTTCCACCTTTGCATCTCCATGGTGCCCCCCAACCTGCTCAAAATCATCAACCTGCTGGGGTTCCCCGGAGACCGCCGCCAGGGGCTGTCTTCACTGATGTATGCGAGCGAAAGTAAGGACATGAAGGCCCCTTTAGCTACGTGAGTAGCTGTTGCACTGCTTTGTAGGTAACGTAGTGTTGAGAGTAAGGGGCCAGCTGTCGGCCGGGAGAGGAGCGCCAGGTAAACGCGGGTTTGGTGGACGTGATGCGAGTGTCTTTTTTATTTTTTTATTGGTATTGCGTTCAGAGAGGAAGGGAGAAGGAGAGAGAGAGAGAGACATCCATGATGCGAGAATCATGGATCGGCCACCTCCTGCACGCCCCACACGGGCACCAACCCACCACGCGGGCCTGTGTCCGACCGGGAGTCAGACGGTGACCCCGACCGGCTTCCTGGGTCAGGGCGCGACCGCTCGGCCGCGCGCAGCCGGGAGGAGCTCCTGTCTCGCGACACAAGGCCGACGGCCGTGGTTCCGGGGTTGGTGGACGCTGTCTTAGGGAGCGGGCCCGGTGCTACGGCTCACAGGCGGGGCCTGCGTTCAGACGGTAACACGATCCGATTCTCAGCCTTGCATGAGGGTGTCAAGCCGTCCTGGGGACCTTGACCACAGTCACCGAGGTCCCAGTTCCGGTTCTTAGATTTAAAGGATGAAAGTCTGACCGGACCTTTCTGTGATGATGAACTTTTATTCTTCTGCCCTCATCTTGGGTAATTTTCATGACGATTCTGGTTGGTCCCTGGTCTCTTAGATGTGGCTTTGGCTGCTCGGTGCGATCGCAGTAAACCGAGTCACTGTGTGGTTCAGTCTAAGCTTAAGTGGCAGTTACTTAAACACAAGAGTGTACTGTTCAGAACAGGGACCACCCATCCTCCATCAGTTAAAAATGGTGTGATTTTTTTCCAATTTGGTAAACACCTGCGATTTGCAATTTGGATGATGTTACCAGACACTAGATGTCCTTGGACGTTGTCCCGCTTGTCGGAATTTTCCCCAATAATGTTGATATCGCAGGGAGCCTTCGAATGCTCTATTTCTACTCATGTCAGAATTGAGGAATTTGAATATTTATAATATGTGGTAGCTATTAAAGAGATCGTTAATTTTATTATTATTATTGATTGATTTCAGAGAAGAAGGGAGAGAGCGAGAGAGAGCGAGAGAGAGAGACATCAGTGATGAGAGAGAATCATTGATCGGCTGCCTCCTGCACGCCCCACATTGGGGATCGAGTCCACAACTGGGCATGTATCCTTGACTGGAATCGAACCCGGGACCCTTCAGTCTGCAGGCTGATGCTCTATCCGCAGAGCCAAACTGGCTAGGGTGAGATCGTTAAATTTTCATTTTAAAAATGTTTGTGCCTCCCCAAACTCATTCAATGACACAAACTGCGGTCCTTCGTTAATTTGACTTAACAGATTTGTAACGTGTGATCATTTGTCTGTTTACATGTTGACACTGTTTTCTGAGAAAGGAAGCGTTAGAATTATTAATGTACATCAGCCTGATCTCTAAAAGGGAACCACATTTCTGCGTGTGCCAGGAGCACACGTTTACAGAAAAGTATTGGTTGTGGGTTGGACGTCCTGTTCATTAAGGCAGAGCCCAGTGCGTCCCTGGAGGGCCTCCTTGAGGACGGCACTTTTCCCGAAAGGGGTGGACTTGAAGTGACAGAATTTTTAGTGATTTACTTACTTGTTTTCTAAATGGCGCCTCTTCGAAGGCCGAGAAGGGACCCTTGATCTGCTCCCTCATTTATACTTTAACCCGTGGCTTGGTTCCACACCGTCGTCCGCCCCTTCTTCGCCCTGGACGGCAGCGACAGCCGGGCGGGCCTGGAGGAGGCCAAGGAGATCCTGTGCAGGAAGGAGGCTGCCTACCCCAACTCCTCCCTCTTCATGTTCTTCAAGGGGCGCATCCAGCGACTCGAGGTACCGTGCCTGCGTGTGTGCGTTCTGAATAAAGCCTCCTGCGGACCCGCCTGTCATTCCCACCTGGGACGAGCCGCATGTCCGAGGCCAGGAACCGTCCGTGCCTTCCCTTGTGTCGTGGCCGCGAAGAC